TCAGTGTATAAGAGCTTAGTAGTTAAAGTATAAATGCTGTTGATATCAGTTCCTTTTCGATTGCTTGGCGAAGTAAGCTTTCGAAATTAATTTGTTTTTAGTATGTACAATAATGATTTGCCTATATTGTAATGGTTAAGCACGGAAAACTAAAGCCATGTTTTATTGCTATTGTTTTATACCTATCTTGAAATATAACTATTTATTGTCGTATTGCGTCTCTGACATTTTGGCTCAAATAAGCTTATCATTTATTTAATTAAACTTCCTCTAATCTCGCTTATTATATTATTCTTGCATTATAAGCCAATAGCTTAGTTTGGTTAGTTTTAAAATTGACCATAAATCTTTTGTAACCTCAAGTCATTTTTACAATTTCTTTCTTTAAATGGTCAACTTTGCCTAGGTTTGTGTACCACTTCTCAGGCCATTGGAGCGAGTTCCTCTGTTAATCTCATCAATGCTGGATCGGTTGGTGAAATGGCGTCTGGCCTGGCTGGAACTATCTCTGATTCCGAGATTATGGCATCCGAGGTACCATCGGGATTTGCCTCGACGATGGGACTTGACAATTCTGAAATCGAGGCTAACCTGGAGGGAAAATTCTACTGGTCCCAGGCTAACCGAGAAAAGGAGAAGGAGAAAGAGATGGAGGAGGATACCCGTTTTTATGCAAAGTTGGCAAGCAGGACACAATCACAGACTAACTACTTCACAAACCGTCGAGCAAGTCAATTGCTCATGGACGCTGGTAATGTACTCTATTTATTAATATTTATGCTTATTTGCTTAAAGGGATGACAGAAAGTTAAAACCTCAATATAGCTTGGTCTATAAGGATTAATAAAAGGTACGGTAAAGCAGTATTCAAGTGTTCTTTAAAAAAATATTATGGTAGGGTGATTTATTTTTCAAATAGAATAGGCATTAAGAATTGCAATAAAAGTGGGTAACTTGCCAGAAAAGCGCAAAACGCTTAGAATATTTGTATTTATTTACAAAGTTTGTGCAAAAAATTTGCGATGATATTACTAGCCAGAACACAATGCCCTACATTTTATTATTATGAGTGCTTCCATTAATGTATAGACATAATTATCGCGTGAGGTTTAATGCTGATTGACAAAATATAATAACTGAATTAAAGTCAATTGTAAGATTATAGTTCCCATCTGACCTTTGCTTCAAATATAACTTAATATAGTGTAGTTTTTCACAACTAGTCTATTTTGTTCTGGCTGAATTGCATATATTTTACCGAAACTGTCGTTATATAAGATGATAGAAGACGTTAGGTTTGATTTAATCCTGATTTTTATCTAAATTTATTATCATATATATATATATATATACATCATAAATGTTATCTTTGACAAATCATATAACTTTTTTTAATTCGTTGAATTCACAAAATTCAAAGGTCGACATTTTTATGTTCAGTT